GCAGCAGCATCATGTTTCGGGGACCCATAGGGAGTTCCACTGGAGGCCCCAGTGGCGGCCCGCACATGCGTTTCCGCCACCCATGTCGGCACGCCCCGCGCGTGTTTCATGTCCCCATAGGGAGCTCCGCCGAATGCCCCAGTGGCACCCATCTCGGCACACCCCTCACACGTTGCGTAGTCCTATGGGGAGTTCCATTGAAGATGAAACCCGCAGCTGCGGTACTGACAACTGCATATGGTTGGGTTCTTCGCCAGGCTAATTAACGGTCCTGGCCCCGGTGAGGGCCCCTGGAGGCCGAAAGCTGCGAAAAACGTCCGTCTTGATTTTTGTCGATGCGTCGGATCTCTGGGGACCCGCCTGCGCCGCCTCGGACTCTTCTTGGCCCCTTTTGAGGTCCGTCTCGGAGCCCTCTTCCGCCCTCGTGAGCGCCTCTGGGGCCGTTGTCGGGCTGTCTTTGGCTGGTCTCGGGCAGCGTTTTCTGGCTACCCCTGGCCTCCTGCTCTGAGTGGAAGGGGTACAGGTCAAGAGAGCCACCGGGCTGAGGGACGTACGAGACTCCCCTGTGAGAGCTCCTTACAAGGTTCAGCCTCCCCCCTCCCCCCCCCAGAGGCCTCCGCCATTCCGCCGCCCGGCTGCGTCCCATCATCCCCTCTTCGGTCCCCGAGGCGGCTCCCAGCAGCCCAACGCGGAGATTGCGCAGGAGCAAACTACCACACGACACATTCACGATCGGCCAGGCACGCGGCATATCTGGGCCAAGGAGCGATGGGATGGAGAAGACATGGGGCGCCAGAAAATAAAGAGGTATCCTGGCGAAGGACCCAACCATACGCAGTTGTGAATGCTTTCTTCGGTGAAACTCCCTATGGGGCCACGAAGCGCTGCACTGGGTGTGGGGGGACGCATGCGGGCGGTGGCGATGGGGCCGTCGGTGGAGCTCCCTATGGGGCCACGAAACGCTGTACTGGGTGGGTGAAAATACCACATTGGGTGTGCGGGACGCATGCGGACGGTCCAACTGGGTGCTTCGGTGGAGTTCCCTATGGGGCCACGAAACGCTGTACTGGGTGGGTGAAAATGTCAAATTGCGTGTGCGGGACGCATGCGGGCGGTCCCACTGGGGGCTTCGGTGGAGCTCCCTATGGGGCCACGAAACGCGATGCTGGGCGTGCGGGAATGCCAAATTGGGTGCGGGGCACGCATGCGGACGGTCCCACTGGGGGCTTCGGTGGAGCCCCCTTATGGGGCCACGAAACGCTGTACTGGGTGAACGAAACTGCCAAGTTGGGTGGGTGGGACGCATGTGGGCGGTCCCACTGAGGGCTTCGGTGGAGCCCCTTCATTGGGGCCACGAAACGCTGTACTGGGTGGGTGAAAATGTCAAATTGCGTGTGCGGGATGCATGCGGGCGGTACCACTGGGGGCTTCGGTGGAGGTCCCGATGGGGCCACGAAACGCTACACTGGGCGTGCGAAAATGCCAAATTGGGTGTGCGGCACGCATGCGGACGGCCCCACTGGCCACGAAACGCTGCACTGGGTGTGGCGGACGCATGTGGCCACCCCTACAGGGGGGGGCCTCTGATGGAGCTCCCTATGGGGCCACGAAACGCCGTAGTGGGAGTGGCGGACGCATGTGGCCACCCCCATTGGGGCCTTCGGTTGAGCTCCCTATGGGGTCACGAAACGCTGCTGGGTGTGGCGGACGCATGTGGCCACCCCCACTGGGGCCTTGGGTGGTGCTCCCTATGGGGCCACAAAACGCTGTAGTGGGTTTGGCAGACGCACGTGGTACCCCCACTGGGGCCTTACGTGGAGAACCCCATGGGGCCACGAAACGCTGTACTGGGTGTGGCGGACGCACGTGGTACCCCCAATGGTGCTTTACGTGGAGCTCCCTATGGGGCCACGAAACGTTGTACTGGGTGTGGCGGACGCATGTGGCCACCCCCACTTGGGCCTTGGGTGGTGCTCCCCATGGGGCCACGAAACGCTGTACTGGGTTTGGCAGACGCACGTGGTACCCCCACTGGGGCCTTACGTGGAGATCCCCCTGGGGCCACGACACGCTGTACTGGGTGTGGCGGACGCATGTGGTACCCCCACTGGGGGGGGGCACGGGAGGAGGAGACGCGGGAACCGTTTCTTCAAAACGAGGACCCAACACCACAGGACGGTTGGAAATTATCCCGACGAATGACCCAACCATAAGCAATTGTGGATACCGTGTTCTGGGTCCATCTTTCGACGGGCCTCCCTACGGGACCACGAAACGTGGATACAATGGGCGGCCCGCAGCGGGAAGGGGAAATGGACGTGCGGCGGGCGGGGAGGGCGCATGCGGACGCAACCACTGGGGCCTTCATTGGAGCTCCCTATGGGGCCAAGAACCGTGTGAAGTGTATGCCGAAATAGGCGTGCGGCGGGTGGGAAGGGAACATGCGGACGCGGCCACTTGGGCCTTCGGTGGAGCTCACTGTGGGGCCACGAAACGCTGCACCGTGTGTGGCGGACGCATGTGGCCACCCCCACTGGGGCCTTGGGTGGGGGGGCCACGAAACGTGTGAGGGGTGTGCCGAAATGGGCATGCGGTGGGCGGGGAGGACGCATGCGGACGCGGCCACTGGGGCCTTCGGTGGATTTTCATGGGGGCATGCGGCGGGCGGGGAGGGCGCATGCGGACGCGGCCACTGGGGCCTTCGGTGGAGCTCCCTATAGGGGCCACGAAACGTGTGAGGAGTGTGCCGAAATGGGCATGCGGTGGGCGGGGAGGACACATGCGGACGCGGCCACTGGGGCCTTCGGTGGAGCTACCTATGGGGCAACGGAACGTGTGAGGGGTGTGCCGAAATGGGCGGGGAACGCATGCGAACCCTACCACTGGGGCCCTCGGTGGAGCTCCCTATGGGGCCACGAACCGTGTGAGGAGTGTGTCAAAGTGAGGGGGGGGATGGGAGGAGGGAGGAGGAAGGGGAGGGAGAAGGGAGCAGGGAGGAGGGGGAAGAGGAGAGAAGAGAGGAGAAGAGAGCAGCGGAGCGGAGCGGAGCGGAGCGGAGCGGAGCGGAGCGGAGCGGAGAAGGAGAGGAGAGGATAGGAGACGGAGATGAAGAAGGAGAGGAGAGGAGAGGAGAGGAGAGGAGGGAGAGGAGAGGAGAGGAGAGGAGAGGAGAGGGGAGGAGAGAGGGAGAGGAGAGGGAGAGGAGAGAGAGGAGAGGAGAGGGAGGAGAGGAGAGGAAGGAGAGGAGAGAGAGGAGAGGAAGAGGAGAGGAGAGGAGAGGAGAGGAGAGGAGGAGGAGAGGAATGAGGAAGAGGAGAGGAGAGGAAGAGGAGAGGAGAGGAGAGGAGAGGAGAGGAGAGGAGAGGAGAGGAGAGGAGAGGAGAGGAGAGGAGAGGAGAGGAGAAGGAGAGGAGAGGAGAGGAGAGGAGGAGAGGAGAGGGAGAGGGAGGGAGGGGAGAGGAGTAGAGGAGAGAGGAGAGGAGAGGAGAGGAGAGGAGAGGAGAGGAGCGGAGAGGAGAGGAGAGGAGAGGAGAGGAGAGGATGAGGAGAGGAGAGTGAGGGGAGAGGACGAGGAGAGGAGAGGAGGGAGAGGAGAGGAGAGGAGAGCGAGAGGAGGAGGAGAGGAGCGAGAGGAGAGGAGAGGAGAGGAGAGGAGAGGAGAGAGGAGCGGAGAGAGAGAGGAGAGAGGAGAGGAGAGAGGAGGAGGAGAGAGGAGAGAGGAGAGGAGAAGGAGAGAGGAGAGGAGAGAGGAGAGGAGAGAGGAGAGGAGAGAGGAGAGAGTGCGAGGAGAGGAGAGGAGAGGAAGGAGAGGAGAGGAGAGGAGAGGAGAGGAGAGGAGAGGAGAGGAGAGGAGAGGAGAGGGAGGAGAGGATGAGGAGAGGAGAGGAGAGGGGAGGGGAGGAGAGGGACGAGATGGACGAGGAGAGGAGAGGAGAGGAGAGGAGAGGAGAGGGGAGAGGAAGAGGAGAGGACGGAGGAGAGGAGAGGGAGAGGGAGGAGGAGAGGAGAGGAGAGGAGAGGAGAGGAGAGAGGAGGAACGCGGGGACCGTCTCTTCAAAACGAGGACCCATCACCACAGGATGGTTGGGAAAAAACACACCCTTCGGGAAGTCTCTCATTCCTTTCCGACTATAATTAGCCCGTCTTTGAGCCGACTTGGCCTCGTCTGGCGAGAATTGGAATGGGCGGGCGGTGAACGCGAAGCGTCTTGAATACACGACTTGTGCCGTCTCGCCTTTTCGCTTCCGATGGGCGTCTGCGGCCTCGGGATGGCCCCAAGAGAGCCCCCAGAGAGGCCCCAGAGAGCCCCAAGAGGCGACCAAGAGGCGCCCAAGACAGACCCCAAGAGCACTCGAGAGTGCCCCAAGAGCGCCCTCAGAAGCGCTTGTGAGCGCTCATCTCATTGGGGGGAGGGGCGGAATTTGGGATCCCTCCTCTCTGGATCGACGCCCTACAAGATCGAGTCGAGTCGAGTCGCGCCCAGCACAGAAAAATACTGGCCCCAATGAAGGGGAGGGCGGCGTGCTGCTACCAGGCAGGCGGGCCCGCCTGGAGCAACGAGGTTTGAAAGTACAAGTGGCGAAACGAAACAGGAGGAGGAGGAGGAGGAGGAGAAGGAGGAGGAGGAGGAGGAGGAGGAGGAGGAGGAGGAGGAGGAGGGGGAGGAGGAGGAGAGGGCTCCCCACAAGCCCCCAAGAGGGCCTCCAGGGCTCCCAACAGGCCCCCCAAGAGGGCCCCGAGAGACGGCCCCCACGAGGGCCCCAGGACACCCCAGAGGAGCCCCGCGAGGACCCCAGGCCCTTCCACAGAGGGGCCCCAGTAGGGCCCCGCGAGGACCCAAGTGAAACCTCGAGAGGGCCAGGAGGCTCCCAAAGGGGAGGGAGGAAACGAAGACGACCTCGCATCAGCTCAAGCCAAAGTCCTGGCTGGGCGTCCAGGCAGCCCCGCGCGGGCCAGGCTCGAAAGAGCGTGTTCCGTGCTGATTTCTGGCTCCCCGCTGCCATGACGGCGGCGAACGGCTTCCCGTGCAGCGTGGCGCGGATTTTGGAGGCCAGGCTACTCCTGTACCAGCCGCTGTGCACAATGGTCTGGCGCGCCTGCGTCGTCCGAGTCACCCTCGCCGAGTGCCCGGAGGCCAGGCGGTGGTCGCCGGACCCCGACGGCAGCCGGGAGGACTGCTCCCTGGTGTCCACGCTCCTGAGGAGGGGTGGGGGGGGGGGGCGAAAGGGAGGATACTGCTACTGTTAGGTCGGGCATATCCTCCTACAGGCAGATTTTGGAGAAATCACAAATAATTCAAAAGTATTCGAAAATGGCCAAACAGCCGAAAGATCGTCCCCCGACTATTTTAGACTATTTTGGAAGATTCCTCCTGTAGAGGGACATGCCCGACTGAATGCTACTGGCTCAGGGGGTGGGGGGGGGGGGCGAGCATCGACCTGGAGTCGACGATACATCGCCGATGGACCGGCGAAGGGCCCCTGGATGGCGAAACTGCACGGCCCTGGTCTGGCACCCAGGCCCCCATCAGCAACGACTGGGCGATCGGAGGCCGATCTTCCCTCCCCTGGGCCAGATCCCACCACTCTTTTGAATACCTACCAAACCATCCCAGCCTAACCCGAAGACTCTCGGGTGGGGGGGGGTGCTTACGGGATCCACACGTGTTTCTTGAGTGCTTTTCCCGACGCCCCCCCCCCCGCCTCTGGGAACGGAGGGCAGCATGAGGGCCTTCAGGCTGGGTTGGGGCCGTTTGGTGGGCGGCGACTTTCGCCCCCGCGGAGCTCCCCGTCTGAGAGCGCCCCGAGGGCGTGGACTTCCAGGCCTTCCGGAGGGCGGCAGGGCACCCGAGAGCACGCGCCAGCCTCGGAGGTCCGCGGGCGGCGCCTCTGCCGGCCCCCGCCGGGCACCTCCCCCGCCCCGGCGCGCGAGACTCGCCCGGGAGCGGCGCACCCCGGGAGGGGCAGGGGCGCAGACCTCCGCCGTCGTGCTCGCTCACGACCTGGACGGAGGCCCGGACCCCTGCCCCCGGGGACCGGCTCGTCGTCCTGAGCTGCGCTCGAGTGCCCCCAGGTGCCCAGTGAGGGCCCCCAGGCGACGAGCCTTTCGGCCAATGGCGACAAGACCAAGAATCGTGCTTGAGACGATTCGTTCTTCGCTGCTCGCGCGTCACCAAACGCGTCTGCCCCAAACCCTCGATACCCGCCCTTTTCGTGTTCGATCCCCCCCCCCGTGGCGGATAAACCTTCCCTGCCTGCCACGCGCAGCTGGCGCGGAGGGAGAAGGGAAAGAGGGAGAGAGCAAGGAAGGAAGGAGGAAACGAGAGGAGAATGGGCACGAGGGAGATTGGAGGATTGAGGACGAAAATTAGCCTGGCGAAGGACCCACCCATATGCAGTTGTGAGTACCACAGCTGTGAATATCTTCTTCGGCGGCGCTCCCTTATGGGGCCACGAACCCTGTGAGGGGTGTGCCGAAATGGGTGCGGCGGACGCATGTGGACGGTGGCACTGGGGCCTTCGGTAGAGCTCCCTATGGAGCCACGAACTGTGTGAGGGGGGTACCGAAATGGGTGTGGGGGGGGCATGCGGGCGGTGGCACTGGAGCCTTTGGTGGAGCTCCCTATGGGATCACGAAACGTGTGAGGAGTGTGCCGAAATGGATGTGGGGGACGCATATGGACGGTGGCACTGGGGCCTTCGGTGGCGCTCCCTATGGGGCCACGAACCCTGTGAAGGGTTACCGAAATAGGCGTGGGGGACGCATGTGGACGGTGGCACTGGGGCCTTCGGTACAGCTCCCTATGGGGCCACGAAACGTGTGAGGGGTGTGCCGAAATGGATGTGGTGGACGCATGTGGACGGTGGCACTGGGGCCTTCGGTGGAGCTCCCTATGGGGCCACGGAACGTGTGAGGGGTGTGCCGAAATGGGTGTGGGGGACGCATGTGGACGACGGCACTGGTGCCTTCGGTGGAGCCCCCTATGGGGCCACGAAACGTGTGAGGGCTGTGCCGAAATGGGTGTGGGGGACGAATGTGGACGGTGGCACTGGGGCCTTCGGTGGAGCTCCCTATGGGGTCACGAAACGCATTTGGACGGTGGCGCTGGGGCCTTTGGTGGGATTCCCTGTGGGGCCACGAAACGTGTGAGGGCTGTGCCGACATGGGCGCTGGGGACGCAGGTGGACGGTGGCACTGGGGCCTTCGGTGGAGCTCCCTATGGGGCCACGAAACGTCTGAGTGGTGTGCCGAAAGGGGTGTGGGGGACGCATGTGGACCGTGGCACTGTGGCCTTCGGTGGAGCTCCCTATGGGGCCACGAAACGTGCGAGGGGTGTGCCGAAATGGATGCGGGGGACGCAGGTGGACGGCGGCAGGGGGATGGGGGAGGAGGAGAGGAGACCCGGGGCGCTGTCTCCTCAAAACGAGGACCCAACACCACAGGATGGTTGGGAAAAACTTCGCGGCGGGAGGGAAGGGAAAGAGAGACAGGAGGATCGGCAGGCTGACCCTGACTGGGCGGATCGGGCGGACCCAACGGGCGAGTCGGGCGGGCGGACCCTGATTGGCGGGTCGGACGAACGGGACATCAAAGCGAACGCGCGACGGGCGGGTCGGGAGGGCGAATCCTAACGGGCGGGTCGGGCGGGCGGACCCTCACGAGCAGGCCAGGCGGGTGGACCCCGACGGGCGAACCAAGCGGGACGTGAACGCAGGCGGGCGAGCGGGTCGGGCTGCCAGGACATGGAAGCGAACTTCGTAAGTCATGAAGGCTGCTCGGGCGAGAGCACGATTCCTGAGTAACGTGTTCGGAAGTCTTGTCCGAGAGCGCGGTTCCTAGACGTCGACAGCGCAGCGCCTGTGAAAATTGTGAGGAAATCCGAGCGGCGAGCGCCATTCCATACTAAATTGCTCTCATACATCTCAAACGACGATGCGCCTTTGAGTAAATTGCGAAGAAATATCAAGCAGAAGCCGATGTTGTGGCATTCGGGGGGCCAACGACGCTGTTTGAGGCTGAAGACTCTCCCTGGTACAAGACAAGGTGCGAGCCCTAGGGGGGGACACTTCAGTTGAAAACAAACAATGCGCGCCAAAGGGGGATCAACAACAATCATTTCCAAGTAGGCTAAGGGGCTCTTACTTGGTTAAAAATTGGTATCTCCTGTTGCCACTTTGCCCGTTGCTCGGAGGTTCCTCGGGTTCCTCGGGTTCCTCGCCCCCAGTGCCTCCTACTGTTACTTTGCTCATTTCCCAGAGGTTCCTCGGGTTCCCCAAGTTCCTCAGGCTCCCCGCCCCCGGTGCCTCCTGTTGTTACGTTGCCCGTTCCTCGGAGGTTCCTCTGGTTCCCTGGGTTCCTCGGGTTCCCCGCTCCCAGCAATGCCAGGCAACGCCAGTCAACGTCAAGCAACGCCAAGCAACGCCAAGCAGATCAAAGCAGCTCAAAGCAACGCCAAGCAATGCCAAGCAACACCACGCAACGCCAAGCAATGCCAAGCAACGCTAAGCAATGCCAAGGAATGTCAAGTAATGCCAAACAATGCCAAGCAACGCCAAGCAATACCAAACCGTGCAAAGCAGCGCCAATCAATGCCAAGCAACGCCAAGCAACGCCAAGCAATGCCAAGCAACGTCAAGCAATGCAAAGCAACGCTAAGTAATGCCACGCAACGCCCAGCAGCGCCAAGAAATGCCAACTGATGCAAAGCAATGCCAAGCAACGCCAATCAATGTAAAGCAATGCCAAGCTATGACAAACAATGCCAAGCATCTTCAAGCAATGTCAAACAACACCAAGCAACGCCAAGCAATGTCAAGCAATGCCATACAATACAAGGCAAAACAATTCAATGCCGAGCAATTCTCAGCAACGCCGCTTAGGAAGCGTTCCCCTAATTGGGGTCGCGCTAGGCTCATTTTTCAGAAGCGAAAGCTCAACAAAAAATAACCGTCTTAGACTGTTCGCTCTCCGCTGCTCGAGTGTCGCTGAACATGCACACCCCACAAAAACCCTCGATTCCCGCCTTCTTGGTCGTCGATCGCACCCCATTTGGCGGGCACGTCTCTGTTGTCTGCCACGTGTAATTGGCGCGGCCCCCAAAGCAGGAAGACGAGTGAGAGAAGGACAGAGGGATAGAGCGAGGAAGGAAGAAGGAAACGAGAGGGGAGGGAGGCAAGAGGAAGGGGGACTGGGGAAGAACAGTCTTTTAGCGGGAGGGGGAGGAAAGAGAGACAGGAGGATTGGCAGGCGGACCCGAACGGGCGGGCCCGGCGGGCGGACCCAACGGGCGAGTCGGGCGGGCGGAACTTCATGGGGGGTCGGGCGGGCCAGGCAGGACGGACAGGCGGACCCTAACGGGTGGGTCGAGCGGGCGGACCCCAACGGGCGGGTCGGGCGGGCGGATCCAAACGGGCGGGGTCGGGCGGGCGGACCCAAACGGGCGGATCGGGCGGGCAGGGCATTGAAGAAAACTTCGTACATCCTACCAGCCGCCTTGCCGTCGGTGATTTAGGGAGTTCTTTCTCCCAACCTCCAGCATCCCCTTCGTGGACAGGTTTACCTCTCCCCTATACCCCCTCTCCCCGGGTCTGAACGGGGCGAGCGGGCTGGAGCGTCCAATATGGCCCAAGAACGCTCAATAATGGCCCCAGGTTGGCTAAGATGACCTCCAAGATGGTTCGATCTGTTTTCAGCATGGCTCAAGATAGTCTGCAGCATACCTCCAAGAGGCCTTAAACCCGCACCAAGACTACTCGAGTGGCCTCCGAGCCTTCCGAAAACGCTCCCGAGGCTATCGGATAAACCGCCCGCGGACACCCGGCAGCTCGTGCTCGTGAGTGCCCTCCTGGCCCCCCCCATCCCGAGATCGCCTCGCCGTTGGAGTGCACCGACGTGCGGCTGCACCTGTGCGGGCTCAGCTGGTTGGGGTTGCCCGCCAGGGGCTGGCTGGACTCGCTCGCCTGGGAGAGGCGGAACAGCAGAAAGAGCAGCACTATCATACATCATTCCCAACCAACCTGTGGTGCTGGGTCTCGTTTTGAAGAGACAGCGCCTCGCGTCCTTATCATTCCTCCTTCCTCAGCTTCCTTTTCCTCATCCCATCCCTGCCATCCCTGTCATCCCTGCCGCTACCCTCCGCATGTCTCTGCTGCGGCACACCCCTCACACGTTTCGTGGCCCCGGGTGGAGCTCCACTGAAGGGCGCAGCGGGAAAGTTCGCATGGCACCGTCGCGCCCACTTCGGCACACCCCTTGTATACGCTTCGCGGCCCAATAAGGAGCTCCACCGAAGGGCCCAGTGGCTGCGCTCGCATAGCACCGCCGCACCCGTTTCGGCACACACCTCACACGTTTTGTAGCACAATAGGGAGCTCCACCGAAGGCTCCAGTGGGAAAGTTCGCATGGCACCGCCGCAGCCAGTGCGGCACACCCCTTAATTACACGTTTCGTGGCCCCGTTGGGAGCTCCACAAATGCCCCAGTGGCTGCGTTCGCATGGTACCACCACACCCATCGCGGCACACCCTTCATACGTTTCGTGTCCCCACAAGGAACTCCACAGAGGGGCCAAGTGGCTCCGTCCGCATGGCACCGCCGCGCCCATTTGGTCACACCCCTCACACGCTTCGTGGCCACATTGGGAGCTTCACCGAAATCCCCCCTGGCTGCATTCGCATGGCACCGCCGCACACGTGTCGGCACGCCCCTCCCACGGTACGTGGCCCCAGAAGGAGCTTCACCGAAAACCCCAGTGGCTGCATTCGCATGGCACAGCCGCGCCCCTTTCGGCACACCCCTCACACGTCTCGTGGCCCCATAGGGAGCTCCACCGAAGGCCTCAGTGGCTGCGCTCGCATGGATATCGCCGCACCCGTTTCGGCACCCCCTCAAACGCTTCGTGGCCCCATAATGAGCTCCACCAAAGATCCCAGTGGCACAGTCCGCATGGCGGCGCCGCACCCATTACGGTACACCTCTCACACATCTCGTGGTCCCATAGGGAGCTCCACCGAATACGATACAATTGCAGTCCTCCTGACTGCATGTGGCTGGCTCCTTCGACCAGATATTATGTTGTTTATGCCGGTTGGTGGTGTTCCTCCATCCGCCACTCCAAAATGGTTGCACAACCACAGAGGTCAAGAGAATACATGCGCGCGGCCATAAATTCTCCACGTCTGCGCTGCTCGCAGGGGCGGGTGCGGGTAACGCGGGGCCTGGGGGCCCCACCCCAGGGGCCCCCACATCTGGCCAGAATCGGCGCGCTCCCCCGAAGCGCGGACCGCAGCATCCCAATTCGAGTCCAACCGGTCAGAGTTTCGGCCAGCGCCCGCGTGTGGGAGGTCCGCGCGGCTTCCTTGGATCGCCGCGGGACCCCGGGCGGCGCCTCCCGTAACGCTCATGATGCGCTTCGCGCGCCAGGGGGGGAGGAGGGGACACCACCTGCCCGAGAACTCCGCGCGCGCCTTCGAGAGATTCCACTTACAAGCTTTGTCCATGGTGCGCTTCGCGCGCCAGGGCGGGGGAAGGGGACAGCACCTACCCAAGAAGTTCGCGCGCGCCCTCGAGAGATTCTACTTACGTGCTCTGTTTTCCCCAAGGCAGGAGGAAGAGGAGGAGGAGGAGGAGGAGGAGGAGGAGGAGGAGGAGGAGGAGGAGGAGGAGGAGGAGGCGCGAGGAGGAGGAGGAGGAGGAGGAGGAGGACCCAGACCTCCGAAGTCATGACTTGTGGATGCGGGTCACCCTGACCCCTCGACCCCTTCCCAATGGGCGACTTGTTTTCCGTCTCGGGTGATCTTCTGATGGTCCTCGGGCCCGGAACGTGCCTCTGCACGTCGAAACTGAGCCAGCCACGAGCATGAAAAATTAGCCTGGCGAAGGACCCAATCATATGCAGCTGTGAGTGCCGCAGTTGAGGATCGTCTTCGGTGGAACTCCTTACGGGGCCACAAAACGTACGAGGGGCGTGCCTATTTGGCTAGAGGGGGGGGAGCGCATGTGAACCCTCACACTGGGGCCTTCGGTGGAGCTCCCTCTAGGGCCACGAAACGAGTGAGGGGTGTGCAAAAACGGGCTGACGCCCATATGGGAACTGCGCCGCTGGGACATTCGGTGGAGCTTCCTCTAGGGCCACGAAACGTGTGAGAGGTGTGCCGAAATGAGGCGGCGGTGCCATGCGAACTTTCCCACTGGGGCCTTCGGTGGAGCTCCCTATTGGGCCACGGAACGTGTAAGGGGTGTACCGAAATGGGGCGGCGGTGCCATGCGAGCTTTCCCACTGGGGCTTTCGGTGGATCTCCCTATGGGGGCACGAAGCGTGTGAGGGGTGTGCCAAAATGGGGCGGCGGTGCCATGCGAACTTTCCCACTGGGGCCTTTGGTGGAGCTCCCTATGGGGCCACAAAACGTTTGAGGGGTGTGCCGACATGATAGACTGATGCGGAGAGCAGAGGCAAGGAGGGAGAGGGGGGAAGAGGGGGAGGAGGAAGGGAGGAAGGAGGAAGGAACGCGGGGCACTGTCTCTTCAAAACGAGGGCCCAGCACCACAGGATGGGTCTGAAAAACAACAGCGTCGGAGGTTTGGCGGATAGGAGGAGGAGCAGGGAGGGAGGGAGGGAGGGAGGGAGGTAGGGAGGAGAAGAAGGAGGAAGAGGAGGAGAAAGAGGATGAGGAGGAGGAGCCGCAAACGCCCGAGCGCGCCCGAAGGACAGGCCCTCAGGATCGTGGCGGCGGCCAGCGCTCCGCCCGCCCGCAGGTCCGCGGCGGCCGCGATGGACCACCGCTACATCCACCACAAGGTCCGCTTCCCCCGCGGCCCACTTGGCCCCACGACATCATCCGCGACAGCCAGGCGGAGGAGCACCGCCTGGCATAAGCGGTTCAGACGCGAGAGAGCCAGCTCTCGCACGCTGTTTGTTTCGAGACCTCAATGCTCAGCAGCTCCTTGCGCACCACCACAGCGCACAGCAACCACCTCGACTTCAGGCAGTCACCGTGGCACCGAAGTACCAACCCAAGTGGCAACCACGCCCCCAAGGATCACAACCGTCACCGAAGCCAGCAGCACGGCACAAACCAGCAGTCGGCACAGGTCTGGCCAGGTGGAAGGAGGACATCCCCTACTGGAAGTAGAAGAACGGCAACGGCACCCAGAAGGACAGGAGCCAGATCACCAAGCACGAGAAGGAGGAGGACCACCAGGATATCGAGAAGACGACCACGCAGCACAACGCCATCATCGACACCATCATCCCAGACGTCTTACCCAGAAGGAAGAAGGACGCTACCAAACACCCCCAATGGGAGGAACTGCCAAGGTCCTCACTGGTATGCACTACGCTGCCAGCCAGAGAGGGAGTACAGATCTCTCGGGCGGCCGTAGACCAGGCGGCCACGACACCTAAGAGCCCAGCCGAGGGAGCCACCACTCCACGTCCTCGGGTGGTGGTGGCTCCGCTCGGAACACCTCTTCCGCCTACTCTCGCACGTGTTCCCGGCTCTTGCATTTCCCTCCTCCTCCGCCGCCACCCACAGCTTTGCGCCTTGAACACCGCCTGGCGCCAACGCCTCCTTCCCCCCCACCGCCTCCACACTCGCACCACCCACTTCCGCTGCGTGCCGCCGCGTCGCACCGCATACCTCCCCCACCTTTACCTCGTGATATGTGGCCATCGTTTAACCGATCCCCGTCCCCACCAGCGTGGGCTGGGCCCCACTGGCCGCCTTACCCCCGTGATAGGGGTATAGGCTGCTCTCTTCGGGTTTCGAGGGGCATATCCACAACTGAGGTGGTGAGACTGTGGGGCTCGAGATGTGGATGGGGATGGGGATAGGGTTAGGTCGGGCATTTCCTCCTACAGGCGGATTTTGGATGAAAAATACAAGTTGCCAAAACAGAATCAAAACATATTCAAAAAAAGTCGAAAATAGTCACAACAAAAACGTCTCGTTAAATAATTGTTGAAGATTCCTCCAGTAGAGGGACATGCCCGACCTAAGGATAGGGATCGGTTAAACGATACTGCATAGGGAGGATGCGGAAGAGCAGGCGACCCCCACTCCAGGATAGGCGCGCGCCGAAGTGGGCCTCTGCCTCCCCCCCCCGCGGGAGCTGGGGCACACGCTCGGGCCCCGCCCACAGATGTGCACTTGGGACACAGACAGTCTCGCCTCTCCCCTCCAGGGCTGGACCTGAACGTTGTTTTCGTTTCGTGGTCGTTTCGTGCTTTGCTTCATTTTGCTCTGCCTGCTTCCCTGCACCACCCTCCCAAAACGAAAAACCAAACTCAGCCGAAGTCCAGCAACACAGCGTTGAGGTCCAGCCCTGCTCCCCTCCTCCCCCTCCGGTGCGCCACATCTTGTGTCTTCGTGACCGCCAACCTTCAGTCTTCCGCCTCGGAGTGCTCGCCCTCTCCTCCCCCCCTCGCGGCCGCCCTGCCTTTCTTCTTCCCTCCTCCTGCATGCCGGACAGTTCGCTTCGTGGTGCCCCTGCATCGCTGCCACGCTGGAGCGGATTGTCCCGCCTCGCTGCCGACAGAAAAAGTGTTCACCATCCTTCCTTCTCGCTTTACCTCTTGGCTTTGTTCCCCCTCCGCCGGCGCTGCCAGCGGGAGGGGTCGAGGGCGCCAGCAGCAGGAGCGGAACCGTCCGCATCCACGAGCCACGAGGAGGAGGAGGAGGAAGATGAGGAGGAGGAGGAAAAGGAAGAAGGCGGCGGCGACGACGACGACGACGAAGACGACGACAACGACGACGACGGCGACGAGAACAACGACAACGACGACGACGACGACGACGACGACGACGACGACGACGACGACGACGACGACGACGACGACGACGGCGGCGGCGGCGGCGGCGGCGGCGGCGACAACGTTGATGGGCGACGCATGACGGACAACGAACGACACATGACAAACGACGAACGACGACGACGACGACGACGACGACGACGACGACGCCGACGCCGACGCCGACGCCGACGCCGACGCCGACGCCGACGCCGACGCCGACGACGACGACGACGACGACGACGACGACGAGACCGGCGCGACCTCGATAATGCCGCCGCTGTTGGCGGGCTCTGCGGGGCCAGCCGCCGGCGTCGAGAGGCCAGCGTTGATGGTCACGGTCACAGCTTGGACGGGCACATCGTCCGACTCGCCTCCACTCGCAGGCCCTCCTTCCTCGTAGTCGTCGTCGTGACGACGACGACGACGACGACGACGACGACGACGACGACGACGACGAGAAGGGTGACGACGACGACGACGACGACGAGGAGGGAGGAGGGACCGAAGCGGAGAGAACGCTCACATACGTGCCAGAACGCGGTTCACCTGGGGACAGAGCATGGGCGCCGCAGCGCCAAGCATGCAAAAGCTGATTGGGAAATCCGGTAGCTCTGCGGCGTGAGCACGATGCAAGATGGGTGGGAGAGGCAGCGGGAGGGGAAGCAGACTCGGACTCGGACGGAGGGCGAGAAACAAGGAACGACAACATGCGAGGAGGATCTAACGATAGGGGAGGAAAGGAGAAAAGGGAGAAGATCGGCAGCACGAGGGAGGAGGAAGGAAGACGGGGAAGAGGAGGTCAGGAGGTCGGTCGGCTGCGGACTTCGCGAGGCTCAGTCAGCTGAGCTCTGCTGGGCGGGCGCGGGCACTAGAGTCAGCCCGCAGCCCAATGACGGGGTTGCAAACAACAGCCCCCGAACAGGAGGAAAACAGGGCATACAGGAATCGCACCCTCCCTCCCCACCCGATCACTCTCCTCAAGCCTCACCCCCCCAACATCATCCTGACGCGGCTGCCTTGAACCACCTGCGGAGGTCCGACTGCACCATCATCGGTTCCCTCCTAGTGGGCGGTGGGGGGGAGCCTGCGCGAACAGGTTGAGAAAGCGGATGGGAAGGCGCCGCGCCTCCACCTCCACCAGTTTCGCCGCCTCGACACTGTGCCTTCTCCTGCGGAGCGCCTCAGCCCTGTTGGCTGCGATGCGCTCGAGCACAGCGGGCGGCAAGGGCATCGGGGATGGCGGAGGCGGAGGGAAGGGAACAGGTGGAGGCCCCTGTTCACCCTTGGCCACGGAAGAGAGCTATACATCGACAGAGTGCGTTCCCTGGAGTTCTTGCTCTTCCTGTGGATGCAAGAGAGCCTCGACCTCCGAAGCAAGAACAGGCGCAGGGCCAAGCAGCCGACGGATCCGCGAGATGCCAGACCCTTGCTTGGCGGTAAATGTCTTAGCCATGTCAGGCCCGAATGCAGGAGCCCCATCAACAATAAAGCCTGTGGAAACAAAGAACAGTAACTCGGCAACAAGCGGATCAGCCAAGTCATCACGAGCAAAAGCTGCAGCAGCCTCTCGAATGTGATCGAGCATCGCAAGGGCAGTATCTTTGCACATCTCTGGAGGACACACCCTCTTGGGCGCCGTGCGCCACCTGACCAACTCAGGATCCCATCATACCATGGCCTTGCGGAAGCACTTTCAGCGGCCAGACCTTCCTTTGCCCGGAGCGCCCATCAGCCCACCATGGAAGGAAAGGAGGCGAGCGGATAGGATCCAAGTGGGAGCAAGACCTGACTGGCCAAACTCGCACTGATGGAATTCGATAATCGAAGGTGCGGGAGACGCAGCAAGCGCACGTAACGGACTGAACTGCCACGACGGGACCGCACTTTGTTCCCATGGGGCGGGGCTGGATGTTCCATCCACCACCCGGCGCCAGAAGTCGCTGCAACAGCCAAAGGTTTTCTCGGAAGGTGTTGGAAGGTGTTCGGAATGGATTGGGCGATCTCGCTAAAGTTTGGAAGGCTTTTGGAAGGTTTTCGGAAGGTTTGTTGGAAGGTTGTTTGGAAGGTTTCTGGAAAGATGTTGAAAGGTTGTTTGGGAAGGTTCTTGGAAGCTTAACCAACGCATGGAGCACATAGTTGGCAACCTGATCCTGGACGGCCTGGCGCTGAGACAGAGGCGCGATACCCCAATGAGCAATCCAGGGCCTGAGCGATGGTGGGGGCCTCCCCTCCCTCCAACGAGCCGCAGAGAGCGTCTCACAGCGGGGGCGGGCCACCAGTGAACTGCACCCTACCTGCACGAACGTGGAAGCCCACACACGAGTTGAATCACCACGAACAGGATGAATGAGAATGTCGAGCCAAAGGACACGGACCTCGACATCATTCAGGCTGGTCCCAAGAGCGTATTCAACCTGCGCCTGAACGGCTCCACGACGACGTTGGCCACAAAACAAATAAAGTATAAGCGTCTGTCTTCGCTCAATCCGGCGGGGAACGGATGAAGCGAGAACCATTTGAAACTGTCCATGACGGCAAGGACACGCGATGCGTGAGGGAAGGACCTCAGGAGGGGGAGAGAGGCCTGCTCGAAGGAGCTCAGAAGTAGCTCCGACCAACCAGTAAATCTCTCCATCGCCTGCTCAATAACCATGCGTGCCTGAGTGGGGTCGCAGGTCCGAAGAACGCGAACAGCTCTCGCAGTAAGGGCCCGGCAGCCCTGTATGGCGGAAACGAAAAGTGGGATGGTGCGAGGCCGACTTTGTGCGCCTCCTTATTACGCCTCTCATCCCGGGATACCTGCAGCTCACTACCCATCTGCTGCGCGTGAAGTAGGTAGTACGTGAAGCGCCTCGGACCCCACGACGACACATGCCTGATGAGGAGATGCCTCGACGAGAACACCTTCAGACAAGCTGGGCACCACTCAGTAGCCACAAACTTTCCAGCAAAGCCAGCATGAGTAAGATGCATCGCTCGAATGTGTGCCCTCAGCGCCTTGAGGAACCCAAACGAGGGGGCTTCGCACAACGGGCACTTGAAAGGTAGCCGAGCAGGTACCAGGGGGACATCTCGAGGCGGCGGAAGGCCCTGTTAACTGAGGAGCCCCAGTACACGGGCCACCGGCTTCAAAACGTGCAAGCTTAAGAATCCGTATGTACTTCTTCGCATACTGGGTACCCAACCGAACCAGGTCCTGGGAATGCAAGCGATGCCTGGCACTAGCTGAAAATAGCGACGAGTTGCGTAGCGAATTCCAACAACAACTACTCGGTCTCAAGATCCCGTCGGGGTACCTGTCAGAGAGCCTTGGTGAATTCCCGAAAGGCTATCGCGGAAGCCTGCTCCCTGTTAGCTGACCCTGGGCCCAGCAAAGCCACGTCGTCAAGAACCGCCCCAAGATACACAGACCGACTGACCACGCGTACAACCAAATCCTGTCACAAAGGTCCTCTGGCCGGGACCTTATCGTTCAAGATGATAAAAACTACTGCCTAAAATCAAAGGCCCAACCCCACGAATAGACATGAGCAGCTCCTTCTCGCCGAACTTCACGCGCGAGAGAGGGCCGACAGTGAGAAAACTGTTGATGCAAGTGCGACAGAAACGCTCGAGCAGGGCCAAAAATTCGTCAACTGGCGCGAGCAACGTGCACGCCGAATCGTCTGAATAGACGAGAGCAGGTAGAGTGGCGTCAAGGTCTAGATCGTCAGTCGAACAGAACAGGTTCTCCACAGACGCATTGACAGCAAGCTGCATGTTCAACTTGTCCAGTTCCATAGCGGGGCGGTAGGTGGCCTCCGCGATAACAGAAACGAGGATCGCGTCACCTAGTGGAGTGCCTGGCCGAGTGCCCCCATATGAGTTGTTGCAATACGTTCGGTCCACGGGATCAAGGACCACCCCCAGCGATAAAACCTCCTAGACAATTGCTCTGGAATGATATGGCAAGGCATGTCTACGGGGATCTCGGTCAACCTTTGTTCCAAAAGGGGAGATAAGTAGGAAGTAGCCCCACCAGACTCCTGACGCGAGGTATCAGTGAAAACATCAGCTCCCGAATAGCCGAGCAGTACGCGTGCATTACATCAACGAAAAAGATGGTCAGGCACTGCTGCTCGAGCTGAATGCACCTAAGCAGAACGATGGCCGCGAGAGTGAACACAGTAACCCCACATCTAGCCACTCCAGCGAGCTGGTGATCACTCCCTGCCTGCTTCATAACCTGCAACAGCTGGCCCCGAACGCACGAATGATACCGTCTGCCTATAGGACATCTCCCTTCCATTGCACAGGTTCGCAAACCAGGAAGGAGGACGTCCTTACCAATGGATAATAAATTTTGGCGATGATCGGGGTGAACGACTTACGGAAAGCCCCAAGGAAACCGTCCGCCCCAACAGCCCCTTTTCTGGTAGATCTGAAAGCACCGTGGAACCTCAGGAAAGACGGGACGTTATTAACAGGGATAACCATCAACGAGTGAGCATAGGCGACATCACAAAATGCATAAGCGAACATGGCATGAGAGATCTGCACAACCCATTCTTGTTGTGAAAAAGTTTGGGTACCTGGCTCGCGCCAGCGACCGTCAGAGCCAGTCGGCCATCAGGCAGAGCGACGGCTGATAAAATTCTGACATGTTGCTGTGTTTTGCCAGCGGCCCCAATCGATCTCAACACGTAACATGTATGATTGAAAACCTTTTTCCAACCTTCAAGCATCTGAGACCGTTGTTGATAGCTGTTCTGCCTTCTCCGCCGCATCTGCCCTGGCTCGAGACTGACAGCCGAACATCAGCGGGGCAAAGAGACAGTGTTGAAACGCAAGTAGGCATCGCGGCAATGCGCGAAGAGGGGGCAACACCTTAAGCCAGGAGCCGGGATCGGCGGAGTGCACCAGCTCACGCAGCTGCCCCACGAGAAGGGAATAATCAGCAACATCAGCCACCGCCTTTCCCCAGGAGCTGCTGGTACCCACACCCTTCATTCCAAGTCTGTTGGCCACGGTAAGTACTAGGGAAACCGTTAGCAGACAAGCCGTAATCAGTTTGTGTTTAACTCTGGCAAGGAAAACAAGATACTCCCGTCAACTTCCTCCATTACTAGAAGCCCAAGTAGCCAACACATCTCAAACCCACATGATAAGCTGCCAAACGGTAGGAGCTACAGAAGCCACAGCTAACAAAGTAGATCAAGGGAGAGGGGACGCTATATGACGCCAAAGTGAAACGAAACGCACGTAGTCAAGCACCTGCACGCAAGTCGACCGCCTGTCAGTACCCTCTGCGGTGCACTTGGAGCTGGCACAAAATTTGCTGGGTCTCGATCGGTGACTCGTTCTGCCCATTGACACCTTCTCTCTTGAAGCACTGGACCATGCCCTGAAACATGTGCTGTCTAACCAAATGACAATGTACAGTAAGTGGGTATCCCATTCAGTGGGGAGAGGATGAATGAAGAGGAGAGAGGAGGAGGAGGAGGAGGAGGAGGAGGACGGAGGGTGGAAACAGACCTAGTCCCTCATAAGTCCTCCTCCTGCCTTCACTCCGCCCTTCGACCGCCTCCACTAGCATTTTCTCCTCGTCGTGACGACGACGAGACGGGAGGAGGAGGAGGAGGAGAAGGAGGAAGAGCACAAGGAGGAGGAGAGGAGGTCATACCTTCCGCCCCCCGATGCCTCCAGGCCCTGGAGTCCAGGGACCTTTCGGGACGTCCAGGAGGAAGGATCGGGGGGCGACACGAATACGTGCCTCCTCCCTCTTCCACCCCCCTTCTCCTCCTCCATGTCCTCCGCCTGTTTCAATAATCATCATGTCTCCTGCTTGCCTCCCCCCTCCATCCTTCCCTCACGCCCTCCCGTTCCTCCTGTTCCTCCTCCTCCTTTTCCTCCTCATCATCATCATTCTTCCCCTCCTCCTCCTCCTCCTCCTCCTCATCCTCCTCCTCCTCCTCCCTCCTCCTCCTCCTCCTCCTCTCCTCCCTCACAGAATATCCCACCTCTCCCTTCCCCTTCCTCACCCGACCCTCTTCATCATCGTCCTACTGCGCTCCTCATCCTCATCCTCCTCCATCTCTCCTCCCTCCTCCTCCTCCTCCCTCCTCCTCCTCCTCCCTCCTCCGCTCCTCCTCCTCTCCTCCTCCCTCCTCCTCCTCATCCTCCTCCTCCTCCTCCTCTCCTCCTCCTCCTCCCCTCCCCTCCACAGAATCATCCCACCTCTCCCTTCCCTTTCCTACCCGAGCCTCGTCATCATCGTCCTACTGCGCCTCCTCCTCCTCCCTCCTCCTCCTCCTCCTCCCTCCTCCTCCTCTCTCCTCCTCCTCCTCCCCTCCCTCCTCCTCCTCCCCCTCCTCCTCCTCCTCCTCCTCCTCCTCCTCCTCCTCCTCCTCCTCCTCCATCTCCTCCTCCTTCCTCCTCATTCCTCCATCTCCTCCTCTCCTCCATCTCCTCCATCTCCTCCCTCTCTCCTCCTCCTCCTCCTCCTCCTCCTCCTCCTCCTCCTCCTCCTCCTCCTCCTCCTCTTCCTCCTCCTCCTCCTCCCCTCTCTCCTCCTCCTCCTCCTCCTCCTCCTCCTCCTCGTCATCCTCCCCTGCCTCCCTCCGTCCCTCCCTCCACCAATCCTTCCCTCCTCCCTCCGCCCTCAGCCGTCCGCCCCCGTCCTCATTCTGACATCCTGCTCCATCTCGCCCATCACCTCCCCCGTAGGATTCCTTAGTTTCCACAGGCCCCCTCAGGATTTGACCGAATTGCTTCAGACCGCTCCGGACTCCAACGAAGATTCCTCTGGATTCTTTGGGGTTGATGACAATTCCCGAAGGTTCCTCTGGATCCCTGAGGACTCCGGAGAATTCGTCAGGACTCCAAAAGTTCCCATACGATACGATCTCCGAGCATTTCCAAGGGCCGCCCAGGATTCCACTAGATTTCCCCAGGATTCCCCATGAGATTCCTCAGGATTCCTTAAGATACCTCTGCATTCCTCGGCGCCCCTCACGATCCCTCGAAGTTCCTCGAGATTCCTCTTGATTCTTCCGGCTTGCTGAAGATTGCCCTGGATCTCTCCGACCTCATGAGAATTCCCCAGGATTCATTTTTCAAGTTCGCGGGCGCCAGGACATGCAAGACGGTCAGGCGCCGGTCAGAGCGAGCGGCGGGATGCACCGGCAGCGAATACAGGCATGAAAGCGACAGAGAAGAGAAGGCGAGAAGAGGGAGGGCCCAAAAGTTCACACGGATTCCTTGCTGGATCCCTCGAAACTCCTCGGGGCTTGTCTTTGGACTGGGGCGTGGGGCGCCTCCGCGGTGTGCATCGGCGCTCGCCCTCGGCGGTGAGGAGGGGAGCCCCGTCTCAGAGCCGGGGCTGCCGCTGGGCTTCGTCCGTGGACGTTTGAAGTTCCCACCCCCGCGTCTCCCAGCCTCCTGCAGCTCGAAAGATGCCCCTTGGCTCGAAAGACTTCAGGTTTCCTCCTGGTTTCGGAGGACCTTAGGCCTCAGGTTCCCCGTCGCCTTTACGTCGCCCCCTGGCTCGAAATACTTCAGGCTTCCTCCTGGCTTCGGAGGACTTTAGGCCTCAGGTTCCCCGTCGCCTTTACGTCGCCCCCTGGCTCGAAAGACTTCAGGCTTCCTCCTGGCTTCGAAGGACTTAAGTCTCAAGTTCCCGGCGACTTTACGTCGCCTCCTGGCTCGAAAACATACGTTCCCTCATGGCTTCGAATGACTTTTAGCCTCAAGCTCCCCGTCGCCTTTACGTCGCCGCCTGGCTCGAAAGACTTAGGTTTCCTCCTGGCTTCGAAGGCCTTGAAGCCTCAAGTTCCCCGTCGACTTTACGTCGCCTCCTGGCTCGAAAGACTCAAGTTCCCTCCTGACTTCGAAGGACTTTAAGCCTCAAGTTCCCCGTCGATTGTACGTCGCCCCCTGGCTCGAAAGACTTTAAGCTTCCTCCTGGCTTCGAAGGACTTTGAGCCTCAAGTTCCCCATTGGCTTTAAGGTTGCCACCTGGCTCGGTCGAGAGGATGGAGCGTTGCACCCCTTCAGAACGGATTCCAGGACCATGGAGCCATGTTTTTTCAGGGTGGCGCTCCGCACAATTGAAAAAGATATGTAAGAGCTTGACAAGAGGGAGCTCGGGACGGACAGGTGTGTTGATATCTTCGGTTTACCCTGGTCCCTCCTCCTCCTCCTTCCCCTCTTCTTCCTCATCTTCCTCCTCCTCATCCTACCTCCTCCTCCTCCCGATACCTCCTCCTCTTCATCTTCGTCCTCCTCCTCCCCTCCTCCGACTCCCCCCCGTGGGGGGAGGGGGCGTCGGAGGAGGGGAGCAATGACGAGCCCCCCCGATTCGCCTCCACCCGCAGGCTGGGTGCCATTCGGGACGACCATCGCGAGGCGCAGGTCGTCACTATCTGGCATTCACGGGCAAGGGCGGCGGACCTGGGCGCCCCTTGCGGTCGGCGACCGCATCGGGGGGGCACCCCTTGGCGTTTGCGCCAAGCTGCTGCGGATGGGCGACAAGGGGGGAGGAGGACGAGACGGAGGAGGAGGGCCAGTGTAAACCCAAGACGATCGACGATGTTGAAAGAAACCCTCCCTCCGAATTCCCGCTTCATAAATGTCTACACCGATTTATTTCCACTGCGGGGGGCGCCCCGTTGGAATATAACCGTCTGAGAACCCCCAACGGCGCCGAGATACCATTCCTGGGACGTCAACGCCGCGAATCAGCACTAAAGTTCCGTCCTGACGACGCTGTATCGTGCCAGAACATCATTTGAGGGAGTCAACCATAAGAATTCTAGAAACTGCTGCGGCCCTAATGCGAAGAGCCACATGCTGTAAAGGAACCGCCCTGCACCCGTGAAAGTATTGGAAACTATTAGGGCGAATGTGCACGGCGCTAATGCGAGAGCCACATTTGAAAAGGAGCCGCCCTCAACCCGTGAAACGATTGCAAGTTCTGAACTTCAGGATCATAAATGGTGAGGAAAGGTCAAGCGAAACGCCTAGCCCCCTACCGACACGTATAGTTGTGCGACAGGACAGAATTATGCGCAAGGAAAACGGATGGAGGAGGAGGAAGAGGAGGAGGAGGAGGAGGAGGACGATGACGAGGAGGAGGAGGAGGAGAAGGAGGTATTCCTCCTCCTGCCCCCCCTCACCATCATCACCATCACCCTCCTCCTTCTCCTCCTCACCATCTCCTCCTCATCATCATCACCAGCGCCGATCCGAGAAATCCGCGCGGACCTCCGAGTTGTTGTGTCTCTGTCTTTGTTCGTTTCCCTATGTAGGCCGAAAAGGATCGGCTCGGAGGAATTCGGCCAATCTCGCCACCGTGATCGACATGCGGATCGGAAACTTTCGGGATCCGAGAGGCTCTCCAGGAGAGCCCGAGGAGGCAACGACTATTGATGTTCCTTAGGTCTTTGACGGAGTTTGAAGTTCTCGCCTGTTCGGGTTTACGACCGCCCAAGGTAACCCAAGAGGCCCCCAAGATAGACCCAAGACAGCCCAAGAGGCCCCCAAGACGGCCCCAAGTCGGCCCAAAAGAACGCCAAGATCGCCCAAGAGACGCCCAAGAGAGCCCTAACGGGGCCCGAAAGCGCTTGAAGACGGCCCACAAGAACCCGAGAGGCCCCCAAAAGAACCCAAGAAGCCCCAGGGAAGGCGAAAAACAGATTTGAAGTTCTCAACTGGTTGGGCTTCCGACCGCCCAAGACGGTCCAAAAGGCCTCCAAGACCAAGACAACCCATGAGGCCCCCAAAGAGCGCCCTAAGTCGGCCCAAGAGGACCCCGAAATCACCAAATAACCTGCCAAGAGGGCCCGATGGCGGCCCTGAAACGCTCCCAGAGGGCACCTAGACGGCCTGGAGAAGCCCCCAAGACTGCCTCCGAAGGCGTCAGACGGACCATAAGCACCCTACGACGGCCCAGGAGACAGTAAGCCCCAAGTGGAACCCGAGGAGGCGAAAAACAATGGCTTACATATGATTTGGGAAAGATTTTGCAGTTCTCACCTATTTGGGCTTCCCTCCGGCAAAGACGGCCCAAAAGGCCTCCAAAATAGCCCCGCGACAACTAATGAGGCCCTTAAAGAGCGCCCCAAGTCGGCCCAAGAGGACCCCGAAATCACCCAAGAACCTGCCAAGAGGGCCCCAAGACGGCCCTGAAACGCTCCTGGAGGGCACCAAGACGGCCTTGAGAAGCCCAGAAGACTGCCTCCGAAGGCGTCAGACGGGCCAAAAGCCCCCTAAGACCGCCCAGGAGGCAGTAGGCCCCAAGAGGAACCCGAGGAGGCGAAAAACACGGGCTTACAGATTGGCAGTTCTCACCGGCTTGGGCTTCCCACCGGCAAAGGCCTCCAAGATAGCTCCATGACAACCAGTGAGGCCCCTGAAGGGCACCCCAAGTCGGCCCAAGAGGACCCAAAATCGCCCAAGAGCATTCCGAAAGAGCCCCAAGACAGCCCTAAAGCGCCCCAAGAGGGCAGCAAGACGGTCCAGAGAGGCCTCCAAGACGGCCTCTGAAGGCGTCAGCCTGGCCAAGAGCCCCCGAAAACAACCCAAGAGGGCCACGAGACGCCTTCAAGAGGCCCCAAGAGGCCCCAAAGAGACTCCCAAGAGGCCCCCGGCAGGCTCCCAGGAAGCACCCTGAGAGCCCTTAAGAGGCCTTCTCCTCGTTGTCGTCATGTTCTCCATGCTTCCTCTCCTCCTCCTCCTCCTCCTCCTCCTCCTCCTCCTCCTCCTCCTCCTCCTCCTCCTCCTCCTCCTCCCCCCCCTCCTCCTCCTCCTCCTCCTCCTCCTCCTCCCCCTCCTCCTCCTCCGCCACCTCCTCCCCCTACTCCTCCCTCCGCCTCCTCCTCCTCCTCCTCCTCCTCTTCCTCCTCGTCCTCCCCGTCCTCATCCCTACCGCGCGGACGAAGACGCTGTCGAGTGCACGACCCACCCAAGTTCATACCAGTCGTTGGAGTTGCGTTCTTCCATACACTCATGTTAAACTAATGCGAGTAAGAATGATGCTGGTACTGATCCGCCGGTCCCCTTGTGGGGCCACCAGGCTGTAGGACCAGGGTTTGCTGTTCCCTGCACCAGTTCCAGTTTCCAGTTTCCACTGTTATAAAATTGCTTTATGCTGCTCACTGTTCCTTGTTGTAGACCGCGCGAGGGGGGGGAGCCGAAAACCAGCAAACCTACCGTCTCCTGGGAAGGTCCTCAGAATTTCTGAGGGGGTCGAAATTGACACCCCTCACACAGATCGGCGGGGTTAGGGTCCAAAAACACATGGGATTTGGCACATTTCTAAAATTCGGCGGCACCCCTTACGCAGATCGGCGGAGTCAAAATCGAAAAACCAATGGGACTTGCGACATTTCTGAAAGTCGGCGGCACCCCTCTCGCAGGTCGGCGGAGTCAGGGTCGAAAAACTTACGGGATTTGCGGCATTTCTGAAATTCGGCGGCACCCCTCACGCAGATCGGCGGAGTCAGGGTCGAAAAACCCATGGGATTTGCCACATTTCTGAAATTCGGCGGCACCCCTGACGCAGATCGGCGGGGTCAGGGTCGAGAAACCAATGGGATCTGCGACATTCTGAAATTCGCGTGGCGCCCCTCACGCAGATCGCCGGGGCCAGGGTCAAAAAAAAAATGGGATTTGCAACATTTCAATACTTCGTAGAAAAGCTTCTTGCACAGCATACGCGAGCAATCTCGAAATGCAACATCGAATTCAACAATATCATCAGAATCTCAATTTGTCTTACCGATTACTCATCGTCTTCGCGTGAAGTCCCGACGCTGCTTCACGGCGGCGCCAAGGCCTCATGATGTCGCTCTTGCATTGCCCATTATCCAAGAGAGGGGGCCGGCGGCAGGGGGCGAAGCCCTTACGTATAAATAATATGGATAATGAAGACCACGCTTAAGAATAATCCGACTACTATAGTGATATGTGGATAACCCGACAATAGTCATAAATTATGATCCTGATCCGGGCTTAAAACAAAATAAAGCACTGGTAATATCTATATTGGCATTCCCTCTGCACTCGTGGCACATTCAAACAAATGTTGCATACAACAGTAACTCGTTGCGTGATCTAGAGGAGGCAACCAATTACAAACATGAAGAATGAGTACTTTGGTCGAGCTGCGACGAAAAAATAGTTGCCAGGAAACTCCCAGCATCTCGCCGCCGACAAGCCAGATAAAAGTACGATACAAACTAGAATGTAGCAATAGGTGTTTACATCACTCCTGTACGCAAATATCTAATCGTGTGTCCTTCCCCCGAAATCAGGCCTTTTCCTGGGGTCCACCCTGGTGATGCTTCACCCCGGAACGACTTTACCAGTCTGGTCCGAGAGTCCGAAACTGGGCCCCATAGGCTGGAACTATGTTGGGCGGCGACGACGACGACGACAACGACGACGACGACGACGACGACGACCACGACGACGACGACGACGACGACGACGACGACGACGACGACGACGACGACGACGACGACGACGACGACACGCCGCCGAGTAGGACGCCGAGCACGACGCCGACGACGCCGACATCGACAACGACGCCGACGCTGGCGCCGACGCCAACGCCAACGCTCACGCCGCCGACGACGACGACGACGCCGACGACGCCGACGACGACGACGACCACGACGACGACGACGACGACGACGACGACGACGACGACGACGACACCGACAACGACCACAACGACGACGACGACGACGACGACGACGACGACGACGACCACGACAACGACAACGACGACGACGACGACGACGACGACGACGACGACGACGATGACCACGACGACGACGACGACGACGACGACGACGACGACGACGACGACGACGACGACGACGACGACGACGACGACGACGACCGCACCTCAGAAGGCCGCCGAGGGCCGCCCAAAGCAGCCGAAGCCCGCCGAGGGCCGCCGAGGGCCGCCGAGGGCCGCCGAACGCGGCGGCGGCGGCCCCGCGAGGGCGCGGCGGCGGTGGTGCCGACGACAGACGACAGCCACCTTCAGCCGCTCCCCCGCGACAGCGCCCAGCGGCCCGCTGGCGGCTGCGGGGCCTTCGGCGGTTTCCTGGCCCGCTTCGTCGTCGTCGCCGACGCCGCCGCCGTCGTCGCCGTTGTCGGTCGCCCCATCGTCGTCGGCCGTCGTCGTCGTTCGTCGACCGCAGACCATCGACCGTCGACGGTCACCATGGTCGGCCGTCGTAAGCCGTTCTCGGTCGACGTGGTGGGCCGTCGTCGGTCACCGTTGTCGACATCGGTCGGCGTCGTCGACGGAGGGAGGGAAGGAGGGGGAGAGGAGGAGAATCAGGGGGAGAAGGTGGAGGACGAGGGAGAGGTGGAGGATGGAGAGGAAGAGGGGGGAGAACGATGAGAAGGAAGAG